GTGTATAAATCAATACTTACCGCATGTTGCTCCGCCGGCGCCTGATGCCTTCCTCAGGCCTCCACCTCCTCTCAGGCTGCTCGGGATGTCAGGCTTCGTAGGGTTCCGTCCTCCGGGGTTGTCTCGGGACGGCAGCCAACACTCACAACACTCACAATTACGATCGCGCGCTACATCTTGTACGGCACTCCCGTGACTCGAAGCCAATTAAGACGCGACGAAGGCGAAAAAAATCGCGAGAAATCACCGCGTTCTGGGGAGGATAACTGGCCGCCGAGTTTCGGCCAGATCAAAGTCCCTCCAAGAGGTACGTCGGTTAGTATCCGACGCAGAGAACAAGGATCTTGATGGCGGAGAGCGAGCTGAGCGTACTCTCATTTCTTTCGGGACCCGCGGGATTAATCCGCGAAGGAAAGCTAAGCGGCCCGTCGAACGTAGAAGACGCGCTGCAGGAGGGAACGAATCCCGGATCTTCCAGACCGCTCCCGAAAGCGGTCGTTTCGGCAGCGAATCAACGACAGTCACCTCTTTTCTCTCAATCCGCATGACGCCAGGCTGTTAGGCGAGAGTACAAATTCGCGCAAGCATATATTGTGCTCTCCCATTATTCAGAAACCATCTTTCTTTTCATCGAAATATAAGTGAAATAGAACGATCCCATGTGGAAAGTTGCATGGTTACGAATAAATATATTTAAGAGAAATAAAATACATGCATTGCTCGCTGCAGCGTTATATGTGCGTTATATGTGCAGGCACAAATAATTCTCGGGTACCAACTGTCCGAGGCAAATCGAAACCGATAACAGCCGGATTTGAAAAAGAAAAAAATGCGAATCTAAAGTTCGACAAAATTACCAACTTTTCGCTTGTGTCTGTTGCGTTTAAAAAATGCATTTGGAAAGAATTGTCTAAAGGTTATCGATATCCGATTGATATCGGGGTACCCAGTCGACTTGCCTTGAATCTATTAAGTGCCCGCACACTTTTGATTACGCTCGCCGCGATGCTAAACGGAAAGAGTACACGTTACTTTTCGCAACCAAGTGAATTGTCCGAAGTTGATCTTTATTTGTCAAATAAAAACATTTCACCGTTCATGCATGTATTTTACAACTGAAAGGGCTAAAGTTAATTAAAATGTTAATATCGATGTGGAATAGCAGGATCCGCCGTACCTAGAAATAGTAAAACACAGCAAAGGTTAAAGCATAAAGCTGAAATATTATATATATACATTCGTAAAATAATATATACATTCGTAACCACGTTAATCGTTAAAGTAAGACTAAGCAAACTGATTGTAAATTCAACTTATTCAGTTGATAGAGTCGGGCACTCGTTCTATTCACATTCTCACTACTGTTAAGTCTCATTATCGTTCAAGCAAAACTGACGCTATTATTAATATTAATGGAGGAGCACGTAATAAAAGAAAGAAAGAAAGAAAGGGGATAATCTCCTTTCCGAATATTTAATTTACTTCTCGAACACGCGCAGTGAAACACGAACGGTAGTTTGTCGTTGATTCATTGCCAAAGCGACGGCTTCCGGGAACCGCCGAGAAAACCAGGGTTTAATTCCAGCCCTGCAACGCGGAATCTCCAACTTTCGACGGTACACCGAACTAGACGCCGTGGACGAATCCCGCGGGAGCAGACGAGAAATAACTCTCCGCTATGAAGATTATTGCGACTCCTCGCCGGTACGAACGCGCTCGTCCTCCTGACGCGAGGGACTGTGATAAGGCGATCGCGCCCGAAAACGCGGAGAGAACGTGGTTACACGCTGACCGGTAATATCGCGCACAGCACTCCCAACACATTGCACAACACCCCCGAAGTCGGAATTACGAGAACGCACTGATAATCGCGATCGCACGATACCCGGCACTCCCGAAAATGCGACGCGGCGATTTAAAGTCATACGAAAGTCTTTCAACGCACCACTGTGTTCACAAAATTCACGGATACACTTGCTTTCTGCGTGATTCAGTCCTTAAGTCCGGTCCTCGAATCGCTGGATCACACTATATCGAAGTCTCGTCCGTTTGGTGGATTTAATCGCCGCCGAGAAACAATGCGATAGCTTTGAGAGACTTGAAAGTGAGCCTCGAGTTTCACACGCCGGAACACGTTGGTCGCCGGCACGGGATATTTGACGTCGAAAAACGCACGTCAAGCGTTCAGTCCGATGTATTGTAATTAGTACCGATAGCACAGTGAACTGATAATCGCGAACGCACGATACCCGACACTCCCGAAAATGCGACGCGGCGATTTAAAGTCATACGAAAGTCTTTCAACGCACCACTGTGTTCACAAAATTCACGGATACACTTGCTTTCTGCGTGATTCAGTCCTTAAGTCCGGTCCTCGAATCGCTGGATCACACTGTATCGAAGTCTCGTCCGTTTGGTGGATTTAATCGCCGCCGAGAAACCATGCGATAGCTTTGAGAGACTTGAAAGTGAGCCTCGAGTTTCACACGCCGGAACACGTTGGTCGCCGGCACGGGATATTTGACGTCGGAAAACGCACGTCAAGCGTTCAGTCCGATGTATTGTAATTAATAGTTAAATTAAAAACGGTAGCTCGCGCCGCTACCTCTCTGCTCGAGCGTCGCCGTGTGACTGGCCCGGCCAGGTAACTCCCGCAAAGTCACGGCCTTCGCGGCGCGCTCGTAAACAACTACGTACGGTCGACCTTGTGACGTATGGCTGTTACCGCTTGGCACAACGAAATATTTCAACGTACAAAAACAATTGTTTTTGTACGTTTACTTCAGTAACGTTGTACGGCGTATGCTTTCACCACGTATCTCGCGTTTCAAGGTAAATTCGGCGCGTTCGCGCGGATCTAGCTCTGTCGCGTACGTGAGTCCTCAGATTCTTTAATTATTACTTATGATAAAGGCGATAGGAGCATATGACGATAAAGCGTCAGTATCAGTAACCGAAACGTCTGACATTATATTAAACAGGTCGATATTTATTTTGTTAAACAACTAACAATCGTATTCTGTTTCATTCCATCTCTTTATAAGCACATTGTCAAGTTTCGCTTTATCGTCATATGCTCCTATCGCTCTTATCGTAATTAATCTTTTTTTCTCAAAGGAGCTTATTAATATTTTTACTCTCAATTTAACATAGTTCGCGTTTTATCGGGAAAGTTTTTTCGCATATAATTGGAACTCAATGAGAAACAACATTGTTAAAACTGAAAAGAGGTCAGGCCGAGATTGAAATTGATTTACTGGAAGCGGACATAAAAGATGGAAATGATTCGCAAGCGCCGATGTCAATTGCAACAATTCGAAATTGCTTCGCCTCCGTCGGCATGCGGACCTTAATTGTCTTCGAGCTCCGCGAAAATTCAAAATTCTGGGCACTTTCTACGTTTTACGAATTGGCCTATTTGGTGGCGGACCAAACATGGCGCAGCGACGTCTTCGAGAATTCAAAGTAAAGTTTTAAAACGAACAACGGGATTAATTCTTCACAAGAAAAATGAATGTATGCAGTATAACGTCCTCGCTCGCAATTTAAAAAAGTTTAAAAATTAATTAGTTTATGTAATATATATAATGTGGAAGAACAATGGCGCGCACGAAGCGCACGCTTGTGTTGTTCTAGTTTCTCCAAAAATAGCTTGTCCAACTGTGCATCTGGAAGTAAAAATATAGAAGAAAAGAGTTGCAGTAAGGCAATATACTTAACGAAGCAAATAGTATCGTTTGCTAGAGACCTGGAGAGACAGCTACATATCATCGAGGAAAAATACATCCTGGAGAGGACAAGTAATGTCAGTATTACAGAAGGTAAATTATCAATGAAGTACTTTAAATATGATATACACATAATATTAATCTTTATCGTCAATTTTAAACAGTATCCTGTAATATTAAAGTTACATTCTTTTATATATTACATTATCATGTTATTTAAAAAATTAAATTTATTCTTTGCATCTGGAAGTAAAAATATAGAAGAAAAGAGTTGCAGTAAGGCAATATACTTAACGAAGCAAATTGTATCATTTGCTAGAGACCTGGAGAGACAGCTACATATCATCGAGGAAAAATACATCCTGGAGAGGACAAGTAATGTCAGTATTACAGAAGGTAAATTATCAATGAAGTACTTTAAATATGATATACAATTTTAAACAGTATCCTGTGATATTAAAGTTACATTCTTTTATATATTACATTATCATGTTATTTAAAAAATTAAATTTATTAATGTGATCGTTTAATGAACAGAGATTGAAGAAGAACAGTCATCTCAGGACACAGAGAGAGTGCCTTTAACTCCACTGAAACGAGTCACGAATGAGCCACGTGAAACACAAGTGGAAATGTCCAAGGAGAACAAAAAATCAAAATTATGTCATCTTTCTCACAAGTTCGGAGAGCATTAGCAACGCTTGAACTCAACGTTTGAGCTGCTAGGCGTACCTTCATCTTTTCATTTTTAAAGTCAATATGTCTGTGTTTTATTTTAGTTGCTAGATGAAGTCCTTCTTCTTCTTGTATTTTTACCAGCAAAGTTATGTATAAATTATTTGTAATATAATATATCCGAGATAATCAATCATTGGGTTAACAAGTATCCTAGGTAGATCTAGATACCTAGGATTAGTACTCGATATACCACAGCACATAGAGTACTCGTACTACATGAAAATTACTTATTCATAATATTATGAATCATAATAGAATGTAGTAGCGTAACATTTCATTATAAAACAAAAACGGTAGTATTTTGCGTGCTGATAGATAAAACTTGCAACTACAACATACTAAAATTTCAATTTCTTTCTAATTTTGGTCGATTTATGCAGGAACCACCTTAAGGTAAGTTCGTTCAAGTACTTAAATTTCGATCACAAGCCTGAAATAAATGAGGTGTGCCGTTGCTCTCTTCTAACTCCTACAAACGAAACCGTTACCGTGGAGAGGATTTTTCAATAAATAAGATATTTGTGGTTTTCAGAATGTTATTATCAGCACATGGAAGTTTCGTATTCGTCTGACAAAAGTAAAGATAAGACGCGAAATGTCAACAATTGCGAATCAAGGAAGGCGGCCACGCGCGCGACCCGCGGACTTGCGTGGCGGTCGCCCTCCCGCCCCGAAATAAAGATAGCATATTTTTGCTTACAATACAGCTCGATGATAATAATACAGGTAATAACGGTATTTATTGTTACGGTATCGTAAAATATCACAACATTAATATCTGCCGAGCGAATAAAAAGAACGACGGTCTGCGACCGTGGTGGCTTCTTGCGAAGGAAGACTCTGCGAACGAGTGGAGTCCGACTTTTTGCACCTCTCTTTTGAAACATATATAAAAAAAAGAAGAAACGAGGAATCATTGGTGTTTCACTCGAAAGGGAGGGAGGAATACTCGCGCGTAAAGTCGCCCCTTCGCGAGAAACGTCGTTCAATAAATTAACTAATCGTCAATCGGCGAACGCGACGCGCTCCGCTACGCGTCTCCTGGTCATCGCGCGCGTATTTTTATAAATAAAAGGGTTGTACGCGGGCGGCACGTCTGAATGAAAAAATAACTCTCGCGCGCATCCACGGGAAAGCTTGCGGATCGACTCGCGTTTTAACTCGCAACCACTGCGATTGAGGATGAAGAACATGACTATGGTGGGGGGTTCAGTTTTTCTTTTGTTAATAAATGGCACTATATTTATCATTTTCAAAGAACTGACGAGTCTAATTATACATTTCAATTATTTCTATCTATTGTCATATTGTAAGCTACAGATAATATACATATACATATTAATAAATATGTAAAACATATTAATTAGAATAATAAATTAATAAAAACTGGAATTAATTTAAAACATAATATACTTTCTACACTTTTTGCTTTTTGAAAATGATCGTAAACTTTCAAGCATTTACTTTTGTCAAACTATAATTACCGAACCCCTACAACAAGCTCCCTACAAATCCCTTGAAAATCCTGTTTTAAGGTAAAGTTACTACGCGTATATATTGAGCAATCTTTCTGTTATTTTACAAAATATGCGACGTACGGGAAATGGATTCGATCTCACCATAGCGGTTGATAGTTAATCCGGAAGTCGCTTTCGGAATTCGAGTGACGCGGTCGTGGTCGTATAAAATCGAGAGTGATATCGAACGGCACTCGGGTATGATCTAGAAGGAGAAACATACGTACGTAAAAATGAAGAGAAAACGCAACGATGGAAGGAACGTATCGACCTATTTATAAGAAAAATGTACAGCGCACGGCTGCTTATTATCAAACCTGCGATTCACGTTCGGACACGGTACGTATCTGCCGCCGAAGCGTCGGCGATTATCATCACCGCTTCTACCAGTCTTCCCGGTTTAACATAATTAGCGGACCCCATCTTGAGAGCGGCGCCCAACAGGAAATACTTTGGAAATTCTCGTGGGGAAGTCGCTCGCAAGATGTATTCAAGATCGGTACGCGATCAAACCGACGAATTGCTTCGGAGAGCGCTTTGAAGAAGCGTTTGTGCATTTGCGATTTTTTTTATCAACCTCGTACTCTGTTATCTTTCTGCGGCGAGCCACGAGGACCAAGACGCTCAAATTAATTTCCGAAATGGGCCCCGCGGACACTGGAAGTACTCACTACCCTCTGCAACGATTCAGACATACTAAGCACTCGCATTAACGATTCCTTCTCCCGTCTGGCAGGCATACGAAAAACTTTCAGAAAGGGGCACTCATCCAAGTACACACACATACGCAAGTACACGCGCGCATTCGCATTTTTGACATCAGCACAATGTACACTAGCAATTAAGGATTATTCGAGTACGGAGAGAATGTGTGTATACAACACCAGCTATCTACCTACGTAACAATTACTACAGCTATATACACAGATTACTACCGGATAGCCGGTCGCGACGAGTTCACCGGGCCTTTGGAGAAGGTTCGACGAAACAGTGATCCATTCTTCGTCGAGCTTGACAATACAAAATAATAATACGTCCTATACATGTATATTCAGTCGTGAAACACTTATATCATACAGAAAAATATCTTCAACTTTATTTCCATTTTAAAAAAAAGTGAATCGGCTAGTTCAGAAGTAGTACAGTTCAATAATCGAAATTGCTCAGGAAGTATCAAAACTGTGCCATTTTCAAGGCAAAGTTACTTGAAAACAATAATATATTCATACAAAGTATAGTTCTACGCTTTTAGTAGCACAAAACACATTCCACAAAGTTTGAAATTATTAATTTATATAACATTCTCTCTCTTACTGTCTAACTGACCGATTCGTTTATTTCAGCTGATTTTATCTTCAGCATATTAAACACACTTTTAGATTAATTATAGGAGAATTTCGCAGACAATGAAAGAGCGCAGCGGAACATAATCAGAAACGGTAAAAAAATATACGCTATAATATAAAGCAGACATAAATTGTTAATACAGAAATGTAAAACTACAATTTAAAAGCGAGAATATCAGTAGAATGTAATTTCCTGAGATGCCTCTTGGAAATCGCTTTGAGCCATTCTGAGGAAACATTCTTCGTTCGGATAATATTATCAGAAATGCTGTCAAGAATACTTTCATACAAGGATATAATCACGATATATGTATATACTGTCTCAATTTGATATTTCTTTTCACGCTGACTTCGAGTCACTTTACAATGTACTTTACAGTCCAAGATGTTAGCAAGACATCGTCGTCATATTGCTATAAGTAGATAAATAAAGTTGGCGCTTAAGTTTTACTCAATGTTACTTCCCATTGCGAAGTTTCGTCGGACCTTGACCGCATTTCGCCTGCCACATCATTTTTCTGTAACTGTATTTCTTTACTACGCTCTGTATCCCCTCTTGGCTAAAACTTTATTGACTAACAACTTCCCTCCCAAGCGAAGCACGCTCGACGGGAATCATTGTGCTTCATTTATCAGGAAGAATTATCAGAAAGAAAATATGTATACTTATCTTTTTGAAATTGTTTCGAAAACTGTATTCTGGGTATTCGTTTACTTGACTTTGTCTTTAAATTGTGCTTTACACGTAGCCTGTAGCTGTTGTAGATTGTTCATCGTCAACAGCAATGTTGTATATAAATTTTGTTCACTGCACGGGGTTTTCGAAAATGCAAAACCCACGTATGAAAATTATTTCAGTCAGCCGAGCAATTAACAATCTCGTAAGTTGTACACGGTTGTCCAATTATTCACGTTTTAATGCACACTTATGTGGGATGATTAGAATCAGCCTCGGTCCTGCGAATCCGTACAATGGATTTCACACGAAGTAATCGACTCGAATATACCGCTTTGACGAATATCAGTTCGACGAAGATCGTCGAAGCGCATTCTTTTTTTTTGTACGGAGGAGAGTTACAGTCTAGAACGATCTAGTGAGGATGTACGACTTCGTGTCGCGTTTGGTTGCTCCTCCCAAGTCGAAGATTCTCTCGTCCATCATTATCGTTTTCTCTTCTGACTACCGAGGCTCGTAGGCCTCGTAGACGAGCTCTGGCACCAGAGCCAACGAGAACGTGGCGCTGGCCTGTCTTGCATACTGCCGCCTCGTGGTAATGGCTTCGTGTTACCTATTGTTCTCCTCCATTACCACTTGCTTGAACACACCGGCGGGCATCTGGCTCTTCACCTCGTGACTGCCAAGCGCAGTCGTACCGTCTTTCGCGATGAAGAGTTGAAGACCAGTTGCTGCAAAACGTAAATTTTTATTTAATTAGAAAATTTGTAATTTTTCGAATATTTGTTTTTGAAAACTTAACTACGTTAAAATGTTAATGAAATATCAGTTATATCAATCCACGATTATCTTTACTTTCTAGCGTAGAAAAAAGCAATTGAATCAAAGGCGCAAAGATCCTCCGTTCTATTTTCTGTAATTGCCATTTATTAATTAATATAATAAATTAAAGGGAAAACGTACTTTCGGAACTTTCAAGATCCGTATGCTCTAAATTTGTTGCTTTAAGCAGCTCGTCGATAAGAGAATCAGGATTCGGCCTGGTAACTTCAACTCTACAGAGAACAGGATTACCAGCACCATCCTCCGCTTTTTTCCTCCGCTCTAGCGCAGCCTTAGCACGATCCAGGGATCCAGTTTCACTAAGACCTGAACCACCGGAAGGATTTCTGCGAATAATAATATATATATTACTATTATTGTTATCACATACCGCGACACGTTAAACCGAGCATTGGGTATAAAAAAGCAAAAATAAAGTACCACTACTCTATTCGGCGAAATCAGAAGATTGTAAAGAATTAAACACCGCGGATATAAATATTAACGGTGCGGACGACCTAATACACGATTATAAGAATTAATTTTACCCCTCAACTCGTTAACCATTACATTATGAAAACTGGATGATTAATTTAGGAAGAGGTTTAAATCTTCCATTACGGCATACTATCTGCTTCTATGCCATTACTCGTCAACACAATAGATATAAATAGTAATTACAAATTGCTACATTTCGCGCTTAATGAAATACTCGATTACGTCTTGCTCGAAAGCAGAATTTCATCGATCGCTTTCTACGTCCGTTGCATTCTGAACTATTTATTTATTCGTCCAATCTTGATTGAAGCAAATAAGTTCTGGACAGCTAACTAATACATCCCTGAGATACAACAATTCCACAATGTCTAACACTTCAATTCCACATTGCGCTGATTTCTCCGCAGAGTAGTGTTACAATCGTCTCTATAAGCAATAAAGATGATGTGTCAGGTACACAATTAATAAATAATCATGTAGATTTAGATTCTTCTAAAATTAAGGGAAGTGTTGTTCCTAGAAAATGGATTCCATGCCGATGTGCTCGCATCTGCTTGATTCTTAACATAAATGTTCATCGAGTATGTATAATATAACGCACTCATTTAAAGTAGAAAAAAACATCATGTGGATACGTGAGTGTCCGATAAGCGTACAAAGAAATAAATGTCTTCTCCGAGCGAGAGGATACTAACAGTCAATTAAATGTACAAGGGGAGACGACTTCTAGTGCGGATCGAGATGATTAAATATACGTGTAGAAGGACGAATGCTTTTAATTGAGTGAAATAAGTACGTGAAAGAGAAAAGTTGCAGAAAGAAGACGACCATAAATATATTGTGCTGTTTCAAATAGAGGAGATAAAGTTAATAAAATAATTTTCTTAACAAACGGAGATTGCTGTACAGCGAGCTATCTAAGAACAAGGAAAAAATATACAATGATCGTTATTATTATATTAACAATATGTTTCTGATAATTAAAATAATTTTATTTAAACCACTTAAAGAAATAAGTATTGTAAATATTAAAAGGGGCGTTTCAACCAATAAAACAACTAAGTTGCTACAGTTTTTTAATTAAAAAAATTTAACATCTTCGAAAGTTAACCGTAGGAATTCCAATAAAGCAAAAAATTAATTCGAATTTTATTGAAAAATGACAATGTCATTTGCACTTCTATCTGTATCTTCTAACTTCTATCTTCTATCTGACTTGCCTGTAAGTCGAAAATTATTTTATCAATAAGGAAAACTCCGTTTCGAATTGGTAAAAGCTATCGTTTCTGATAGCTCATCATGAGAAGTGAATGTGGTGCATAAAAATATCATTGAATGAATTTTTGTCGGAGAATTGCGCCTTTTACGTGCAAGAAACATGCATTTCAGGTGCGACAAGCCATGCAGATTTGAAGGATTAATCTTGCGGATGAATTGCACAGAGTGAAGAAGCAAAAAGTTCATAGGGCGCCGCAAAACACTAGAACGAATCGTCGGATCATTGGTTTGGACGCACCGACTTCCAAAAAGCGTAGGCAAATGACGACAAATATCATCGCCAAGGCGCTCGGACGATAATCAGCGCCTAGATTTCACTGGAGCTAGGAGGTGAAATGTAAATCGTTTTGTTTTAAGCGCGACAGGACGGTGAAATTAAATTTCCTTCGTAGCTCACTTATTCGTAGCGAGTAGGAACAAACTTGGAGAGCACTTAAGCCTCATTAAGGTCCCCTCATTCTGGGAAATTCCTGACTGGGCAGTTCAGGGCCCACTTTATCACACTTTCATCCCGCTGCGCGACTAAAATAAACAATGATTTCTATTTCCTTGATATCAGTCAAATATTTTAACCAGTTAACATCAGAAAAATGAAACACGTTCTGTACAATGGGCAATTTACATATGTGATCCAAGGATTGGACATCAGATGTACAAAGAAAAAAATAATTGGTACAAATAATCAATCCGAATTGTAAGCTCATTTTCTTCGTAAATAATATTTCGTCGGTTTCCAATTTTCTTAATGACTCGGTAACAATTGATCTGATATATTATATTACAGCTTAAATGTTGATCGCACGAGCTGTAATTGGACGCTACGTGGAGGATAACATCAAGTATCAAAGCATGCATCAAGCTAATTATTGCTGAGGATTAAATAACGGGCTTATGTGCTGTACACATGTTAAGCATTCTTCATATAAAGACTAGAAGCTACTGTGTTTTTGCAATGATGGAAAGCAGAGACGTATGCACGAAGGGAAGGGTATACGTAAGACAAAAGCATGGACTGACGGTGGGGTAATGCTGTTTCGATGCTGCGAGCTCGGTGGCGCGACTTCCGGTACCCCTAACGAGGACTCCTCAGAGTCCGCTGGACTGGTGGCGACCGTAGCCAGCTTGCCCCCCGCCCCGTCCAGCAACTTCCGATGGCCTCCGCCAATACCCCTGCAAGGATTCACAAAGCCATCCAAACTGGAAGCATAGCTACCGCATAACAACGCATACCCCGATTTGCACTGTTTTTTTTTATATGCATACAGACAATCAGCTTTCAACTGGAATAATGAAATTTGCATCGATAACAGCGACATTGCTTCTGATCCCGATTATGAGTTGCATGGCACTCATTCAATGTGATTCAATTAATTTGTTGAGATGCAGTTTCAATTCTTCATTAACTTTCATAACAAACTGAGAAAAATATGAGATTTTGTGAAAAAAACCAGAACCTGAACATTTTTCTTATCTTCTCTAATAATTCATAAAAAATTTTCAATGCGATCTCTTGTAATGTCTTACAAGAAATTTACGTCGCAGTTAAGTTACTTTAAATTGTATGGTAGTTGAGAAATTACTTGGATCACAATATAATCTCGGAAGATAATAACGAACACACGCTTTAGTAAATTTTCGTAAGAAACGCAAGAAAAAAAATACGAGAAGAGAACGTATTTGTTCTCACGAGAACAATGAATCTTTAAGAGACACACACCATCCCCTTACTGCGATACTAGATAACTCTTTCCTTACTTGGAACTGCCACGTAATAACGTAGCATATTTTTAATTAGCTCACATCAAAGGCACAGAAATGATAAATGGCCGAGCATAATTATCATGGTTAATGAAACATGAGTTATTGCACTCGTATGATAAAAGTACGGAAGATAATTAAGCAACAGCGAAATATTAAATTTAAATCTGTCCAAAAATTCATCAATTTTCATTAAATAAAATGCATGTCGATACAATTTGATACGTTTTCTTCATGTTACATGTATGATCGATCATGTGTGATGTATCGTTAATTTCTTGCGGTAGATTCAAGCGAATCGATTACGCACAAACGAGCTTTAAACGCGCGGCTTTCTCTATTGGGTTACCATTATTTATTACGTCTCAAGCACATCGCTCTATTCTCTAAATAAAATAAAGTAAAACATTACATGAAAATAAAAGATAACAAGAAAATGAATACACGAAACGAATTAAGTGGCTGATATAAAGAGATTGGTGAATGTAACTTGATTGGAATATGCTTTTAACGTTCTTAATATAGAAAACACGATGTGTTGAACAAGGAAGAGAAACGCTGGGGGGGAATCGCTCCTTCGAACATCTGCTGGTTTGTCAGGACGGAATCACCAATTACTCTGGCATTCCGGACATACAGTCGTCGTTAACGATTTGTAAATGAGATGACCTCAGCTCCGAATAAAGACCGTTTAATGCAACGCACCGTCTGCTAATCAAACGCATTGTAAATATTCACGGAAATATCTCCCCTCTCTGGTTCGCGTTCCTGCGGAGAGGGCATCAATCATTCAAGATAAGGGCAGATATTATGACGCGTAGAATTGTCTCAAAGATTAAAAAAAAACGGGAAATACGGCTAGATAAAGAAACCGGGGAGACCAGAGGAGAGGGAATGAGACGCTCTCGAGATCTCCGTGAAAGAATCGCGAAACTGAAAACTCGTTGATGAATGAAACCTACCTGAGGGTCTGAGCTGTCGTCGTGGGACGTAGCGGGGCTCTTTGATTGTCGGGCCTATGGAGAGGATCGGGAGAGGACACGGCTCTAGCCTGATCGACCAGTCGCAACACCGGGCTCGTTTTGCCCTTCTCGATGCAGTCGCAGGTCTTCGACATGCCGCGCCAAACCGCGGCACTGATTCTCGGCTTCGCGATCGGGAAGACGTTACCCTGCTGCCCGTTGCTCTCCTTGGCGAGCGAGCTCATCATCGCGTTACGTTCGTTATACGCCTCGAAGCTGTTCCTCTCGTAATTCTTGCGCGAGTGTCGCGGCACGTCTGGCACCCTGAAGATACCGGACGTCACCCGGGTGTCCGCGTTCGCGTCGTCGCGCGGGTCGCTGTCGTTCAAGAAACCGTTCCCGATTCCGCAGAGCGACTGCTGCTGCTGCTTTCCGACGGAATAAACGTTCTTCGCGATAACATCGATTTTCATCGGGTTTTCCACAATTGTCTGACCGCTGCGCGAGGAGAGAGGGCTCGATGCCGACCAGAACTGAGCTCTGGAGACCAGGTGCGACAGGGAGGAGGGGTGCAGTGACAGAGGTTCGATGCAGGTGCCGGGCCGATAGGCGATCGGCTGTGTGGACAGATTCTGGGAGGAATTGGGGATTCGTGGCGCCCATACCGGCCAGGAGGGTGACCTATAAAGATCACAACACAAATGTACAAGCATGCAAAAATCATAAACTCATGTACATAAAGATAAAGAAAGAGAGAGAGACATACGTAAAGTAAAAAAAAGATACAGAGTCCAGAGTCTCGTAGTTATGGTCGAGAAATTGAGAATGAAGAGATCGCTTGAGGCTGGAGCAAAAACAGAACATTTTCTCGCGTTATTGATTCGCTCTCTTGTTAGTCATCTGCTGGACCGTTCAGATCGCCATGTGTATATATATAATATATAATTTTATTCGTGTTATTAATTTAAAAATAAAGCAGTTAGTTATTCGAAAGTTTGCATGAGCTTACTCTACAAGCAAGTTTTATCGATTACCTAGCGTATAGAAGGTTGATATCGTTAAAGGTCGAAGATAGAATATCGTTCTCGAGTCAAGATAAAGGCAAGTAATATTTAAAGCGAGATATGGTGCGATATCTATAGCTCAAGTACCTTGTTAATAAAGCCAAATGTCTTGCGTTATAAAAAGGAAATTGTTAACTTGTGATAAAACTATGGGTGAAATATATTTATCATCCGCGCGTTGTCGACCGTTTCCAGTCGCGGCAATAAGTTCGTCGTATTCTTTCGCGTTCTACCCTTTAGATCCTCTCGGTTTTCAACTCGTATACTGTTACAGAAACGATGGAACCAGGCAATTCACAATAATCTTTGCAGAATGTCGCGTAATTAACAATTACAGTTCAGCTTTCTATTTCAATTTAACGTAACTGGACGTGAAAAGTAAAATGCAATATGGAAGATTTAAGTCGACTTTGTCAACAAGGAATTCAAAGAACTCTGGACGTCCTCGTTGATTGCGCTCAACTTGAAAGTATTCTTCGAGATATAAACCTTCCTGAGTATCGCTTTGTTTCATATATCAGTGCAACGCCAAGATTTCGAAAGTTGTTCGAAGTAGATGCGCAGGATCGTCGAGATGATAAGTCTTACCTAATGTGACCGCTATCACCGCTACTGCTCTGTCTGCTGTGCTGACTATGCGAATTTAAAGAACCGTAGCCGGACCCTTTGCTAAGTTGACTGGTATTACTGCTGTTGCGCGAGTGCCCTGATTCTGTGTGCGCCTCCACTAGAGCCTCCACCGGGACCGCCGACGGTACGATCTCGCTGAGAGTCATCGGGTCGTACGTTTCCGTTCCGCTGAGAAGTTCTAATCGCACACAATTCATTAAGTTAACTTCCCTTTGCTCTTTCTTACAATTTATTCCTTACAGGCGTGATCGCATCATCCTTGATGCTTCGCATGTAGCTTACGTACACGGAAAGAAAAAAGTAGCTGCCGTAGCTAAAAGGTGCACGTGGCAGCAAAATTTTACTTGTAAAATATGGGCAGCTAATATTTAGTTGTGATAGTTGAATGCTTTGCTGTGCTTTAGAAATTTATAGTTATGGCAGCAAAATATTCTTGGCAAACCACGATTAGCTACGGTAGCGAAAATTTGCTTCTCATCGTACGCTGTCTTTGTTAGTCAAAGCACTGAATCTTTCTTACGAGCTACTTTTTGACGAATACTTTCGGTACATATCATATACATTGTAGAAACGAGCAAATTACCGGAAGTGAAGAGTGTGGGCCTCTTCTTGGGAAGACTGCCGAAACCACTGCTGGCGCTTGCTATACTTCCCGCCAATGAACCGGTAGACACGTAATCTTCCCGATTAGTGCATCTCTCAGATGCCGTCACCTCGTCACCGGTGACGCCAGGTGCACCTTGCGCCCCAGGCACCGCCAGCTGCGTCTGCTTCAACGACGGGGAAGGGCTGGAGCAATAATCGATTAATCCGTTAAACAAAAGGAATCCACGAGATGTTCGTTCGATCAAACGCGGACACAATTGGACGCAGTTCTGCAGTGCGGAACCAACAAAGACCTTATTTTTCCGCTGGAGTCAATTTCACGAAACACATTAGGAATAAACGTTAGAGATAAAATTCTGCGCTAACTTATCACAAATATAATGACCAAACTATTATACTTATATATCTTCCTCAAATTTAATTCCATGTGTTATATGCGTTTTTTTTTACAGATAAGAGTTGAATCATTTTTGTGTAATATACTGTTACGCTCGTGTCGTCGCGTACCGTTTGCACGCTCAGAAACGAACGAATTTGACTTGTAGGAAAAAGAAACTCGTTTACACACAGACTGATACAGCGGAGTGGTAAGACAATAAGACCGTATGATTTGACAGCTCGTACGAGTCTTCCTGGTAACCGTTTATCAACAGCGACTTGTGGAAGAGCTTGACGATTTCTTCAAGATTGCAGCTCGATTCGGTTCAATTCTAAGGATCGTGTCGCGAGCGTAACAACACTATAAGCTTCCATGAACGCTTTACAATACAGAACTAAAAATCATGAAAATCGCGCTTGATTCCTTAACGCATAATTGTGCTCGATTGTACAGCAAAGGTATGTAATTAACCGTAACGGTTCTATATCAGATTTTTACATAGTGTGGAAAAGGAGCGTGAATAGAAGATACCAGAAAGGGAATTTCTTCTCATTAAGACTCCAGTTATGGATATAGTAGATTATTAACTTGATTCAATATACTCGATATATTATTTAAAAAAACTGTACTTATACTGTAACGTAATAAATCAAAAATCTGAGATGTCTACTGTTACGCAAGCATTCAAACATTTATACCGCTGCTTCAGATAGGTAGATAATGTGTCTTACACTTTAAACAGAATATCTCCGGAGAGCATGTTCATTTTTATAGCCACACGTAGCATAGAATTATCTTGACGGTGCCGCGCATCGTAGCCCTCCAGGAGGCACCTTCTTCGGCAGAGGCCAGCTCCCGCGAATTCGGCCAGGTTCAGGTCGGTGAAGCCCAGTTTCTGGAAGGATCTGCCTCCTTTCAACTCCTGCCCGCACAAAGGAGATTTATGAGGACACGTGGCATTTAACATTAACTATTTATCTAGTTACGTTTGCGCTCAATGCGTTTCCAAGAACGCAATTAAAATTAGCAATAAAAAAAACTACGTAGTTCCGTAGCGTTCGATTATTCCGGAATACTTTTAACGGGGAGATTCATATTCATTCGCGTTTATTCGAATTAAATAAGAAATGAAATTATTCGCGTATCTTTTCAACAGAGTTAATAAACATTTATGCCCAAGAGTACAACTTTTATCCCGCTTTCATTTCTTCGTTTTACTAATTTTAAATAAAACAACAGAACAAATGAGTAAGATAAAACCATTATTTCATAGTCGATTCTTACTCCGGTATTTCGCGAGCATGGGAATGTGAACGAGGAGTAAAACGTTCGTGAAAACACGAGAGAGAAAAATCTCTCTCCGCGTCACTCTTTCGTCCCGTTTCCCAGCGATGTTCGCGCCTCAAACGGAAAGTAAGTTTGCTCTCACCTTTCTCACAGATATCCTTAAAATGCACGGATCGAGCACGCCCGTGGACGCGTTGGCGCTCATCTTGCATAAAAATTCGAACTTCGCGTTCCATCTCACCGTGTGCTCCTGCACCTCCTCCCTACAAAGATAGGAAGAAAAAAAGGATTGAAATGGGAGATTAATGTCTTCCCGCGAGTTGCTTCCTTTCTTACTGAGAGCGTACTAATTGCTCTTTCTTTCTCTGCCTTTCTTTGACAGGCACTTTCATTTATGTACAGTACACACGCTCGACTAACTTACAATGGATATACGAATTCCTTCAAGTTCCGCGCAATCGCAAAAATTGAGTAATTTTCATTATCGTTTCGCAATCACCTTTTAATGTTCAGCATCTCGATAAATCTTAGGATAAATCTCCGTTATCTTGAAATCGCGGTTTTAAATTGGTTAGAAATAATTTCTCCTTATTTTCCCTGAGTTCAATTCGATAGACTACCTTAATTATCATCGTTAAAACTTCTCCCGGTTTAATAGTTTGCCCCGTAAAGCGTCACGTGGGGGGGAGGGGGGGGGATGTAATTTCGCATTCGCGGAAGAAGCTCTACGGCTGAAAGGAAATGCGTTCTATATACACTCGGGTAAAATGCATTCCGGGACACTTGAGAAAAATGCAAAGTAACGTTCGAAAACCCAAGAGCTCAAGAATTCTTCTAACGTCCGCGCATCGCCGGGGATGATGAGAAAAACCGCGATGGGAAAAAAAGTTGTCATAAAAATAGAAATATGTAAATCATCCCGACGACAATCCTTTGTCCTTTCTAACACAGTCACCGCCAACACGGTCGCCGATGACCGACACTGAGCTTTCCGTTTACGACCTCGTCGGCCATCGTCGGTGACCGTCGAATAAATGCCTCGCGCATTATATATTTTTACGCGATTCAATGCTGTACATTTACTACTATAAATTAAATGTTCCGTTGTTCCCCAGGTAGAAATCTGCCTCAATTTGCCGAGATTAAGTACAGGGCCTGGATAGAAAAATCTCCAATTAAAAATATCCGTTTAGGTCCAGAATACACCCTAGAAATTTACCTTGATTTTACCGAGAGAAAAATAGTCGGAAAAATCTACATGGGTCCTAGATTGCCACTGTGATTTTTCACACAGATTTTTCCCTGATTCCCTCCTGAATAAATAGCACTAGTACCACATACTGCCGCGACGTGGCGACCGCGCGTTAGTCTTCCTCGTAAGTAAAAATCGTCCCGTATTAATATAAAAGGCGAGCCGATATGATGCGAGAGCGAGTTGTCTGGATCATGGATAAACCTCGACGTTACATTTACGGTCAGGGCCCTGTCAGGGCTGCCTGATGAGTGCCTGACCAGGCATTAAGACATCTTTATTAGGACCCTATCAGAACCCTACTAAAATTTCTGCTCGGGTGGAATTCCAGAGAATATTTTAGGGAAAAATTTTAGATTGAAGCCTGGGCCAGACTGGATCATAAAAATAATTATGGTACAAACTTATAAGTAAATATCTAGGAAAATTATAGACCCCAGCTAGATTCCAGATAATTTTTCGAAACAAATTCCGGGTAATCTTGGACCGATCTGGATTCAGCGATAGGGCCTGTTCGATTTAGGCGTCCCAAACTTTACATAGATCCTAGCTAGATTTTCCACCTGGATCCCAGAAATATTTTACAAAAAATATATGGGGCCCTGATTGTTTCCAGACAAAATTTCTACCTGGGTCTCTTTAATAGAAAATTATTTAATTGACGCGAACGACAAGTCACGTAAAATACGCCTCGGCGGTGAATGTGTTAATGTTATACGCTTTGCATTTCCCGAGAGTCCAAGTGGATTTTTCTATGCGGTAACGCATTTCGCGCTCGGTATGCACAGTGGTACCGGGGGGGGGAGGAAGGGGGGAGAGAGAGAGAGAGAGAGAGCGCTCTTCCCGGGAAGACGCGCCGCTCTTGTCTAATGCAAATGAAGGCAAATTGGCACGTATGCATAATGCCGCGCGGAATCAGCGTTTCAGGTCCGCTGGGACGCCAATGAATCATGACCCGAAATGAGACGCGGGCGTCTCCCGGCGTCGGGGCCCTTGACCGACATGTGGGTCTTGCCAATGAAACGTGTGCCGATTAATGTCCGATGCGCCCGACTTCCGGTAGAAGCACTTCCGACACGCGCCGCCGCGCATATATCGGGATCCGCCGGAGGGACGACGGCTCCGATTTCGACGGCGAGCTCTCGCCGTCGACGCGCGCTGTCCGAATTTCGTCAACTAATTTCATCCGCAACGGTTACGAGATTCGCAGTACGTCATGCGGCAGACCACGTTAGCATCATCGATTTTGCTTGGTTTGCGAATAAAATCGTAACTGACATTAGTACATATTGACGTGACGCCCGCGGCTAATTACGCATTCAGTGACGTAAAAACTGGGATTGCAGTTGCGTGAATAATTTCCACTTATTGCGATGTGCGCAATGTTTATATATTATTACCGATTCAGGCCCGAGCGGCAAGCAGCGTCCTATTATTTCTGATTTTTTAAGCTTCTTTTTTACGAGTCTATTCACCGAACAATTGCGTTGAGGCATTATCGAAGAATAATAAAATCGCTCCACGATAATTAACCGCAATTATACCGACGCGTAAATATTTTTACAATTATGATAATCGTATAACGATAATATATAGCGAAGTTTCAAAAGTTTTCGTGAAACTCGATCGTGAAACTAATTGCAACACACACAGAGTTACAAATTTTTCTGCTGGGAAAGAAGAAACTTTTCTTTTCCAACAAAGCTTCAGTCCTTGATGTCGTAAACCCAAGTTTGCAAGCGAAATGTCCTGTCGTGTCAAGTTTTTGAGAGAAAGGAGGTAAAAAATTCATTTTTACTATCTTTGAAAATTTACATAAACTAATTACTAAAACTAATTACTAAAACGTTCTGCGGCACACTCGTTGAAAATCGCTGTACAAGGAACCTCGAAAAAACTCAAATTAAGCTCGAACATTGTAATTTAAAATAAAAAGATCAAATCTTTCACCGCATCATCGAACTTTTAGCTTTGTTTTAGTTTTTCAAAGTAAACATACGTACATAAGACGATACAGGATTGTAAGAATATACGAAGAAGAATTATTTATTCTTTATAATAAAGATTTAAACCATGGATCGATATAATGTAAATCAATAAGCGATAAGAAAGCCGATATGGAGTCCGAGCAGGTTGTAAGTAGCCCAATGGTTTAATGTGTGAATTTTCGCAATAAAAATTGCACCCTGTATATGTAATGGTTTGCTGTCTAAATACACTTTTCTCAAAAACCTGGCGCACAGTGGTCCAGTATGTAAAATTAGCGGCTCAAAACTCCTTTTTTCGAGAAAAAAAATATTGATGATTACAACTTTGAAGTACACATGCCAGTTAAGGTTAAAAATAAAATTTTAAACGAAAACTTGTGTCTAATCATGAATTTGGTGAAGAACAAGCATAAATACGACGTGAAAACTCAATGAAAATCGTCATCGCGCGCGATGCTAGTCTTAATTGTTTCACTTCTAATTTCAGTTGATAATAAAGTAATTTAATATTTTATTTTACTACAAGTATGAAAATTGCAGGTAAGTGTATATGTATATTTAATCTTGTAAAAAATACATGTATGTGAAGTATGTGTTTTAATCATTTGTTGATATATTGTGGTATTACTAAAAATTACCTTATTTTACCCTGATGTAACTAGGATGAAAAAAAGTACAAATAAATAGTTATCGAATAAAAAAAAATTGTTTGCATTGATTCGCATTTGCGTTCTCTGTGACGTATTTAATCCATAGTCATACATTACATTTAGGTTTTCAGTGTCTGTAAATTAATTATTATCGGTCTTTTTAATAAAGAACATTTCGGCGATTTCTGTTTTTCTTTTAGAAGAATCTTTAGAAGATTCACCTTGTACCTATTTCTTTTGTATTTCTCTCATCGCGCATTGGATTGGGTTCAACTGAAATTAGAAGTGAAACAATTAAGATTAGCATCGCGCGCGATGACAATTTTCATTGAGTTTTCACGTCGTATTTATGCTTGTTCTTCACCAAATTCATGATTAGACACAGTTTTTGAGCCGCTAATTTTACATACTGGACCACTGTGTGGCGTAGTAAAATTTTCAGCATTTTCGCTTGCGGATTCACGACATCGAAAACTATAAGGAATCACTCCAGGCCCTAAATTTCGGTATCTCTGTGTACATATTATAATATATTATACAAATGAGTTTCACGCAATGCGACACGTATATCTCTGCTCTATTTTATCCTCCCTCTTTCTTTTTTTCTCCCCCCGATATACCGTCTCTCCCTGCTCGTCTCACGGATATCTTAAATAAGCGAGCGTAAAGAGCGATCAAGGCGGAGGTCGATATTGACTCATGGTGTACCGAATAATGCGTGATGACATGGGTTTAAAATAAACCCTGTGCACAACGCCCACCACTCTACAGCGCCCACGTAACCCCGGAGAACCGCCTTATCGTAAATATCATCATCGCCAACCCCCCTTATCGTGCCAGAGAGCCGGAATATCGATAGGCACGGTAGGCAGTAATGGGAAGGAAAGAAAGGAAACGGAGTAACGCTCGGAGCTACCGAAAATGTACAAATAATCACAAGATGGGGAGTGCAGCACGCACAACGGCATGCCGAGAAGAAAACGGGCATTGCTTTCTCTCTTTTTCTTTTTCTAAACAGTCTAAACGCTGTAACAGAAAGCTAAAAATATCTTCGTGACTGACGTCAATCGAGCGTTTTACAGGCGCGCGCGCGCGTGTTGCAGTACGCTTTATTTTACAATATCGCGATTTTCAGACCGAAAGAGATTTTAAACAGAGAAAACACGCGTTGCATTTGCGTTTCTTTACTCTTGCAATTTCAATAAAAATTCATTATCGAAGAGGTGTGTTTCGTGGTAAGTTGAAAAAAAAAACGGCATGTACCTTGAGAATAAAATATCTGTATATGTTCGAGAGAAAACGGACGAATATTTTAGGAAGAAAACGATAATGGCTAATAGCGCTTCGCACGATAGATGGTAACAGGGATAGGC